CTTTCACTTCGTTCACCTTTCACAAAGAATCTACGATTATTCTCATCGTTCTCTTTTTTTTCTTTTTTTTTCGTGAACACCAACACGGGTTTACAATTCACGAACATTTCTAGTTCCATTGACGATGAGAGTTAAATGGCATTTTTATAAATTACTTGTACCAAACGATTTATCAATGCTTTCATCTTTCTCCTGTATCATCCCCCTGTTTCTTTCACCCTATTCTGTTTCTTAGAAGGGAAGACGTTTTATGGTAAGCGTTAGTATTGTAATAATATTCTTCAGTGTTGATGATATTTAGTAAATGAGTTTACTACTATTCTCTATAACTCGAATATCAACTAACTTCATCAACCTATAAACTTTTCGCATAACAATTTATAAATGAAAAATTAATTAAATAAACAACTTAAATTGGACCGAATTGTAACGCTAAACCATTATCGAATCCACCTTAAGACACACACAAAATTTCATTAAAATCGGTCCAGCTGTTTAAGAGGAGTTCAATTACAAAAACGTGCACGGAAGAAATATATATATAAAAATATACATAATATTTGATATTTAGTAAATGAGTTTACTACCTTTACCAACAATATTATTAATATATTATTTTTTAATTTTTTATATTATTTTGTATTATTAAATTTTTATATTATTTTATATATATATATATATATATATATATATATAAATTAAAAAGATTACAAATAAAATAAAAAAAGTATTGTCACATATAATAATTATAATATACTATTAAATAATAATACAAAAGTACAATTAATTAAAATTAATCAAATTAATTGAAATTAAAATCCAAAATATTTCAATACAATCCTCGAACGATTCGAATGAAAATGAAAATGAAAATTCCGTGGAATAAAAGGAAGAAAAGGGATAAAAAAAAAACAAAAAACAACATAGATATCTAGATATCTAGATAGATAGATAGATAGATAGAATTGGCAGGGTGGAAAGAGACGAGTGGGCAATTATTTGCACGGTTGGACAAACGGACGCGTAGTACCGCGATCTGAGGGGATCGGATTGACCGGATGGTCGAACCGGTAACTGAATATGTGTTATATCTATACATATACATATATACATTTATACATATATATATATAATTCATATAACATGCGAATATAAACGCGAATAGCAAGCGACAAACGATTAATTTTAGCTTCGTCAGCATGGTTAGAAACGCGTGAAATCACGAAATTCGTCRAGCTGAACGAAAGGGGTTGGGTTGGGGTTGGGGTTGGGGTTGAGTTGGGTTGGTTGGCCGATGGTAAAAGGGCTTTGCTGGGTATTGCGAGAAGTGGATGAGGAGGAGTAGAAAGGGAGGGGAGGAGGGGGGGAGGGTATGACCGTATTAAAAGGTACGCAAGAGATAAAGGTGATTACACCAGGATAGGGGTTGGAGGGGCTGGGGTGCTGGGGTGCTACTAGTAGAAATCACTCGTCGAATTATTATCGACGCGTTGCCGCACGTTTTCCACCACCACCACCACCACCATCAGCAGCTTCAGCAGCAGTACCACTACCACCATCACATTTCCATCCCCTAACCCCCAACCCCCCATCGAGCACCGTTTGCCGGCAACCGATCGATCTCACTCTCTATACAAGCCCCGAAACCCTACTACCCCTTTTGGTTATATACAAATTTAATGTGTCGATTGTTTGACAATTTTAATTGTTTCGCCTAATTTTTCTTTTTAAAGTGAAAACTTCTTTACAATGGGAGTGATCTGAAAAGTAAATAAACGGAAACGGAGCTATGTAACGGAGCTATGAAACGGCTACTATACTAAATAATGAGAGAAAAAAAGACAAACATATAGGATTGAGCGGAATGTAGCTATACAGTTTTTCCTATTCTCGGTTTCCTCTTTATGCTATGCTTCGTAGTTATCGCTCCTGGTTGTATATGTGTGTGTTTGTGTGCGATTGCATACTACAAAGAGTGGACACATATTATTACGATACTAAACCTGATTGTAGGTAGGAGCGATAGAAAGGTAGAAGAATAAACAGAGATAACCACGTAGGTATGCGACATAAGAATAAGGTCCCAATGAACCGACCTCACTACTTTTCGGAAAAGTAGTGAGTGTGTCTTCAGGTGGATTCGATAATTGTTTAAGATTTACAATTCGGACCAATTTAAATTGTTTATTTAATTAATTTTTCAATTATAAATTGTCATGCGAAAAGTTTATAGGTTGATGAAGTTAGTCGATATTCGAATTATAGAGAATATTCGAGACGATAATCGAAGTTATTCGATTCCAGTTTGTAAATCGTGTGTTAATGGAAATATTACATTAAGATCTATATTAGTGTTTGTAGAATTTTGAAGTGTGTATATCGGACTGTTTGTGAGCCACAGCAGCAACGCGTGGCGAAGCACCCCTAATATATATACAGTTTAGTTTATATGTTATATGATTTTTGAAATAGTAGATGTGTTTTGCATTAAATATCGTTCTCTTTAAAGAATAGATACACACACACACATATATATATATATATATATATATATATATTGGTATTGTATAGTTATTTTATTTTCTCATTTCAAGGGAAAAAAGTTTTTAAATTGGCAGGGATTCGATGTCCCTGTCTCTTTGAAAAGTACAACAACAACAAAAAAAAAAAGAAAAGAAAAGAAAGAAAAGAAAAGAGGAGACATAGGAAGAGAAATCCTCGGAGAATCGAAAGGATAAAAGGAAAAAAAAAGAAAAAGGATAGAGATAGTCGGTCAACCTTCGAGGCACGATTCTGCGACGATAGCAACCCCCAACCCTAACCCCCAACCCTAACCCCTAACCCCCTTAAACCTTCTATATGTCAATTCAGATGGTATACCCAGTTGAACGTAGGACACAAAAACAACCCCCGATTCGGTTCGTTCATTTGCGTACCTGCGTACGTGAGTGAATACATGTGTGTATGTGTGTGTGTATATATATATATATACACGAATATTTACGCACGTATACACGCAGTTTGAAACACAGGGAAACTAGAATGAGTGAAAGAGAGGGAAAGATAAAGGGTGAGAGAGAGATAGACAATGCTGCGGCATCGATCGGCAGCCAGTGCCTGCCTGCCGGCCAGTTCCACCCTCTCGTGTCCTCTCTTTCTCTCATTTACCATTTTCCTCCTCCATCCTCCTCCTCCATCCTCCTCCTCCATCCTCCTCCTCCGTTCGTTCCTTTCGTACAGGGGGCACGACGATCAAAATCCCTCCTCCCCTCCAACACCCCTTTTTGCGATTCAACCGCACCCTTCTTCTTCTTCTTCTTCTTCTTTTGCTTCTTCTTCTGCTTCTTCTAAAGGCCCACCCCATTTTTTCATCTTTTTTCTTTTATCTATTTAAATTATTGTACCCTTTTATATATATATATATATATATAGGTCTGCAATTTATTTTTTTTTTTTATACGTTTTATTAATGCAACACATTTTTATTCGATATAATAAATTATATAAAAGAGTATAATATAAATATATAATAAATATAATATAATAAATTATATGAAAGTGGTTTTTTTTATTTTTGGAAAATATTTGTCGTGTAAAAATTACTAATGAAATATTTATCATAAATATTTGTGTTCATTGATTTGTGTTTTATTGACAATGAAATGATTTTGATTTGTGTTTTTATTAACATTTCTTATAAAAACAAGTAAAAAATTAATTATCAAAGAGATGTTTTTATACATTTTCCTTACAAATATTGTCTATAATTTTAATTATTATATTATCTAAACAAAGTAGATAACTTAATCTTACACTTGAAATAATAATAATAATAATAATAATCATTTGGAGAAGAAGGAAAAAAATAAAATGGAGGAAAAATGAGTTGAATTCTCGTTTCGATTCAACGATATGGAAATAATAATAATAATAATAATAATAATAATAATAATAATAATAATAATAATAATAATAATAATAATAATATGAAAGATAGAATAATACACTTGTTGTCTTTTAACAAATTCAACTTTTACACGGTACTATGATTTTGAGCAAATAACGCGTAAACTCGTTTTCTCTTCTTCCTTGTTAAGAGAAAAAGCTCAGAAAGCTTCTTCTTCTTCTTCTTCTTCTTCTTCCTACTTCTTCTATTCGTATTCGTTTCATAGAACAAGTTTAACAAGGAAAAGAATAAAAAAAGAAAAAGGTTGTTATGAATCCTTGTTCGTTCGGTTCGTTCGGTTCGTTCACGAAGAATTTCGTAGATATTTTAACAAAAATATGTTTCTCATTCGTTCAATAGATTAACCAGGTGTATTTTGCCAGGTATTTTGCCAGGTATTTTGCTAGGTATATTAACGAGAAGAGATTTCTCTTTAAATACGCTCAAGTAAACTCTCTCTCTCTCTCTTTTTCTCTCTCTCTCTCTCTGTAATTTGAAAACAAAATTGACACACACTCTACCTTTAATAATTTGAATACTTGAAATGTTTTAATCAATTATATTTCATATAATTAATTAAAACAATATTTATTAAATAAACAATAAATGTATATTCATATATATTATATATTTTTTTTTTATAATAGATGGAATAACATTTATTAACAATTAATGAAGTTTATTTAAATATTATTTAACGAAGAAAATTCGTCAAACTTAATTATATATATATATATATAAATTTAATATTTAATAATAATAAATGATATATTTATAAAAAATATTAATTTTGCAAACATAACATACAGATAACATTTTGCAAATAAAAAAAAAGTTGTTTGTCTCCTTAATGTAAAAAATTAAAACAATTTATTTATAAATAATTGCAATAATTATATAAATCATAGTATCGTCCCACCTTAACAATTATCGACACATTAAAGTTTTTTTTCTTTTTTTTTTTTAAACATTTGATACTATTTTTTTAAATACAATAAATTGCAAATAAATGAATGAAATAATGTTGATGGATTTGTTTTAAATTTGTTTACAG